TAAGAAACTCAGTAAGATGAAGATAAATGTTATCGATATGGTGTTGGCTACCAGTTTATATTGTGTCGTAGGGATAGAAGTCAAAGTGATTTCTCAAATTAGAGTGGGCTGAGTCAGGAGTGAGAGGCTAGAGGTAGCAAATGTAGGTAATTCTGGTCAGTAGTTTTGATGTGAAGTCAAATCAAGAAGTGGGACAGTAGTGGGGGAGGTAAGGAGTGATGTGGGCTAAGGGAGATTTTCTTCTTAAATTAAGTATGTTTGTGTGATCTAGAAATGTCCAGTAAAGATGGAAATGTCCCTTATTCAGAAGAGAGAAGGAATAGTGAAAGAAGTGAATTCCAGGCCATGCCACAGGGATTTGATCTAGAACACTGAGGGGAAGAGATGCTTTTGTTTGGAGCAGGGCCTTCTTCCTCTGTGAGGAAGGCAGAGAAGGATATCAGTGTCGGTGCTTTTACATATTTGCAGTTTCTCTTGGTTTCTTCCATTTTCTCAGTAAATTATTTGAGAAGATCATTATCTCATCATTGAAAAGACTGGGTTGGGGCACCTGCGTGGCTCAGTCGGTTGAGTGTATGACTTCGGCTCAGATCATGATCTCGCGGTTCGTGGGTTCAGTCCCCGCGTCGGGTTCTGTGCTGACAGCTTGGAGCTAGGAGACTGTTTCAGATTCTGTGTCTCCCTCTCTCTCTGCCCTTTCCCCGCTCACTCTCTGTCTCTCAGAAATAAATAAACATTAAAAAAATTAAAAAAAAAAGAAAAGACTGGGTTAAGGAGGGAGAAAATATAGAAGATTGTATTGGGGACTATATGCTTAGATGTGAATGCAGAGAAGTGTTGGGCCTAACTGAGATTTATAGGCACGATCTTGAAGTGAAAGCAGGCAGTGGGTGTGTGTGTGTCACAGTGTCGTTGCTCTGGTGCAGGCAAAGAAAAGGTGGACGTCTAGACTGGAACAAATTGGGATTTGGGAGTTATCCTGGGATCCCATGGGAGAGAGGGGCAGGGGGGCTTCAGTGTTTGAAGGAAATGATTACGTAGTGGGACACGGAATTTAAGCAGGTGAAGAAGGGGGTGATGGATTGTGTGACAGTGGCAGGGATGACAGACTCGATCCCTGTGGGAGGGAGGAGCCTCAGAAGGGGTTCTAGAATATGAGCTGAAAGGATAGAAGGCAGTGGTCAAGGACTAGACGTTCCTTCCAGACATTTGTACGTACGGTGGTAACTGAGGAATGAAGTCGGCTAAAATGGAGTTTACTTTCCAGGAGGAAGAGACAGACCACAGACTCACAAAAATTCAAGAGCTGAGATCTCTGGAGAAGAAAGAGGGATAATGGGAAAAAGAGTGGCTGGCATGCTGTTTGAGAAAGGAGGGGGAGGTCAGGACGTTCTCTGAGTGGAAAAGACAATTGAGCAGACGCCCGAGTGAGATGAAACAGGGAGTCATTCAAGTATCTTGGAAAGAGTGTTCTAGTATAAAAGTCTCCGAGGTAAGCATGAGCTCTGCGTGCTGAAGGCCTGTAGGTCAGAGTGCCCTGAGGAGAGCAGGAAAGGGGGCCAGGAGGGGAAGGGCCTCTTGAGTCATGGTGATGAGTTGGGTTTTGGTCTGAGGGTGATGGGAAGCCGTGAAGGGCTGGAGTAAAGTTTGAAATTGGTCTTCTGAATGGACGGCCTGTGTGGGGAAGAGAAAACACTGACTGGAGGCCAGGGTTCAGATCTCAGCTGAGTCATCTCCCTGGGTGTTGGTTTGATCTCCATGTGGATGTCAGAATCACTGAGGAGAGTAGCGGTGGAAAAGAGCAGTTGAGTCAGGGGGTAAAGTGTTCAGTGAATGGCAGGGAGGGGTCAGGAACGACAGGAGGTTAGTGGAGGCGGAAAGGAGGGTGACAGGTGGTCCGGCCGGTGGCAGATGGTCTTGGAGGAGAATAAATCATTTGCGAGTTCTAATGGGGATCGAGGAAGTCACTCACTCACCTCCTACCCCTAATATATGTGGGATTTGACACAAAATGTGTCCAGCCAGGTTACCGTCCATGCGATCAGGAGAGGTTGAGGCAGGGATTCTCAAGCTGTGGTGATTTTGTTCCCCGGGGACATGTGGCAGTGTCTGAAGGCACTTTGCCTGTGACCGCCGGAGGTGCAGTGGTTACGCTGCACCTACAGAGTCACGGTGGGTGGCGCTGCCCACATCCCACAGTGCACAGGGCAGCGCGGGGCGGAGAATCCTCCATCCCGAGGTGTCAGTGCGTGGTGGTCGAGAAGCCCTGGATGGAGGGTTGAGGAGTGAGTGTGTTCATCACGGAGCTGAGGTTCCAGGGAGGTTATGCTTCCTCTCTTCCACGTTATTCCATAAACTTTTTGATAATTTCTGGCCTGATACACATACACATTTACTTGCTCACAGTTAAATACTCTCATATATGGAAGATCCCGTCTTACTTTCTGTCATACACAACTTCTGAGTTATGGGAAAGAACCACTTAGTTTTCTGGCTGTTTTCAGCCCCAAGACTTGTCAGATGGGTACACCGTAGCAATCAATCACTTCGGAATTGAGGAATATGGTTTCCTCTGTGTTTGGTTCCAGCTAGATGCAGGGAAACTTACGTCCTGTAGGAAAAAATCCTTTATTTCTTCTCAGAAAATATCCTGGGAGACCAAAGGATGTGAAGAAAATAAAAAGACCTCTTTTGCCTTAGTATTCCACATATCAGAGGTAGATTTTGAAATGAGTTTTGTTGTACAAGCAAAAATAGGAAGAGACAGCAAATTTGTATGCCTGGTGTCCTGACAGACATTTCTACATTTGAAATTTAGTTGATCTAACTGAAAGACAGACCTGTGCCTGGTTTTGCCTAGCCCTAAGCTAAGGGTGCTTTTTACATTTTAAAGCTGTTGCAAATGAAAATGAAGACGGATATGCAGCAGAGACGCTATGTGGCCCTCAAAGCCTAAAATATTTACTGTTTGATTCTCTATAGAAGAAGTTTGCTGAACTCTGGTATAGAGGGGTTTCTTTTCCAGTTCTGACTATGTTAGAACAAGTCTTTGTCACAGAGTCCTGGCATTGCATTTATTCAGAAATCCTAAACATATTTATTAACGCTTCTTATGTGTGAGAGGCCACATTTGCAGGACATATGCTGGCTGTCAGGGAGGTTATTTTGGCGAGAGGTATAGATGTGAAACAAGTAAGTACACCCATGATTGACTGAAATAATGAATAACACAAAGAACTAGGAAGGGCACCAACAGAGTATGGAAGGGGGTCCCTGAAGGCTGGTTTGAATGAGTGATTCTAACCTAAATTTGAAGAATGAATCCACTAATTACAGGGAGGAGCAGAAGCAGGGCAAGAACTGAGAGCATTTGTAGCCCTGGGAGGGACGCTAGAGGTTGTCTGTGTCTGTCGTAGTTGACGAATGCAGAAATCGGCTAAACCCATTTCTTTTCTTTTCTTTTTTTTTTTTTTTTTTACAAATAGTTTATTGTCAAGTTGGTTTCCATATAACACCCAGTGCTCATCCCCACAAGTGCCCTCCTCCATGCCCATCCCCCCTCCCCCCCGCACCCATCAGTCCTCAGTTTGTTCTCAGCATTCAAGAGTCTCTCATGGTTTGCCTCCCTCCCTCTCCCCCACCGTGTCCCCCCTTCTTCTCCCCCATGGTCCTCCGTTAAGTTCCTACTAATCCTCCTATACGTGCAAACATATGGGATCTGTCCTTCTCTGCCTGACTTACTTCACTCAGCATAACACCCTCAAGGTCCATCCATGTTGCTACACGGGGCCAGATTTCGTTCTTTCTCATTGCCATGTAGGATTCCATCGTATAGATAAACCACGTCTTCTTGATCCATTCGTCCGTGGATGGGCACTTAGGCTCTTTCCATGTCTTGGCTATTGTGGAGAGTGCTGCTATGAACATTGGGGTCCATGTGCCCCTATGCCTCAGCACTCCTGTATCCCTGGGGTAAATTCCTAGCAGTGCTATTGCTGGGTCCTAGGGGAGTTCTGTTGTTCATTTTTTGAGGTACCTCCACACTGTTTTCTTTTTCTTTTTTTTTAATGTTTTATTTATTTCTAGGAGAGAGAGAGAGAGACAGCGTGAGCAGGGGAGGGTCAGAGAGAGAGGGAGTCACAGACTGAAACAGGCTCCAGGCTCTGAGCCGGCAGTCAGCACAGAGCCCGACGCGGGGCTCGAACCCACGAACCGCGAGATCATGACCTAAGCGAAAGTCGGACGCTTAACCGACTAAGCCACCCAGGCGCCCCTCCACACCGTTTTAATGAACTAGAGAGCAAGTGGCATCAGAAAGGATTAGGGACCCCCAGCCATGTGTTCTCCCCGCGGAGTCTCGGGGGTAGCGGCGCCTGCGCACCAGGGCACCAGGTGGAACCCGCCCTCCCAGTCCTCAGCCAGTGCCCTGTTCTTGTGCCTCTTTTCTGGTCCCTTTTAGGGACATCAGGACTGAAGCTCGCACCTCCCACAGAGCTACGGTTCTGAGGAGGAGGACGTGAAGAAGTTCTGTCTGACGTATTTGCTGGCCCTTTTCTCGGGGGCTGGGGCCTCTCCCTCCCTGTCTCCCCGTCTCCATCTCCGCGCCGGAGACCGGGAATGCCGGTCACTGACATTTCAGTCCGCTGCGTGGGTGCTGCCTGCTCCCTCAGGGAAACAAGGAGACCAAGGAGGGTGACCGAGGAAACCCCAAAGGCGGCCACGTCTCCAGGCGGAAATGTACTTCTTCGGGGGGGCCGTCCTCGTTCGGGGCAGGCGCCGGCTTGGGGGATCGGAGAGCAAACCTGAGCCACCTTTTCCCACGTGGGACCCCGGGCCTCAGACTGTGGGGTTTTCTCCGTGATCGGGAAGCTGCTGTCTGAGCTCGCGGCAGCCTTGGCGCGGGTGGTGCTCACCGGTCGTGCCGTGCCGGCCTCGCCGCCCTCTGGGCGGGCTCCGAGCCGGGCGGCGGGCCAGTGCCCCTGACTGTGTTTCCTCTGCAGGGCGAACTCTGTTGGAGAAGCTGTTCAGTCAGCATGAGAACGGGCCTCCGGAAGAAGCAGAGAAGTTTTGCTCCCGGATCATTGCCATGGGTCTTCTGCTGCCTTTCAGTGACTGCTTCAGGGAGCCGTGTGACCGGAAGGCCCAATCGAGTTCAGCTCCGTTTGATGTAAGTAGGAACGTTTACTTCTGCCTACGAGGCAAATTGGAGTTAAAATAGCAACTGTGCTTGTGTCTTCCCGGTCACCCTGCAATTTAAATACCAGCCTGTGATGCCAGCCATCCTTCCCTCAGCCGCTCAGCAGCTCAGCACGTCTATTTAATTTCTGCACTTTTCTTCCCCACTCGAGTAATCTGAAGTCTATTTGCCAAACCTCCCTTTCTTAACAGATGGCCACTCTTGGCAGTTTTCTAGCCTGCTTTAATCAGTACTGAGTTGCAAGTGGCTCTGAGTCAGGACCGCCTCCTTGACTGGTCATGGACGTCACTACAGAAGAGTACCATAGGGCCAGAGCTCTGGTCCCAGTGGGCCGCAGGTTTCCATGGGTGCCTAGAACACTATTTCAGTGTGTTCGTAGCTCATCTATTTACGAACCATTGGTATGAAGCAGCATTGCCTGCTTTCTCTCCAGCTCCCATTCACCAAGAGCATTAACACTGTGGAACGGTAATCCATAAGGCATATTCGTAATTCCTAATGAATATCAGTCAGCACAGCTGGATTATCACTTTCAAGCCAGGGTGTTGCTAATCTTTCTCAGGTATGTGGTATATGTGTGACATTGGTAGTTGTAGTGAGTATGCATCTAAAACCCAGATCTCTAAGAATGCTCCTGTATGATTTTCTCCTAAGGAAATTGAAGGTCTGGTTGGCTCACTGGTGCAGAGCCCAGTATTTGTGAAGCAGAGTAATGGGTTCTAATCCATATGGGTTAGTGGCACTTGTTTCCTGGCTTCAGACTACACCCTTCTGTGCCTTTAGTGTATATGCTATTGACCAATGAGTGAAATAATGGTGACTTCTGAAAGACAATGAAAATGAGCCCTGATCAACATGTGATAGTAGATAATAAAATGTCTATATGTCTTACATTTCTTCTTTCTCTTCTTCAAACATTATAAACTATGTTCTTCCTTGATCTTCCTTAAGTATTAGGAAAATAAGTCACATAAAGTATTGTGAGATCTTCTTGACACTTTCCATGTGAAAGAAGATTCCTCAGGATGTGCTGTGACATGTGAAGCTTGCGACATAAGATCTTTTTTAATTTTTATAAAATGTTTTATTTATTTCTGAGAGAGAGACAGCATGAGCAGGGGAGGGTCAGAGAGAGAGGGAGACACAGGATCCACAACAGACTCCAGGCTCTGAGCTAACTGTCAGCACAGAGCCCGACGTGGGGCTTGAACCCACGAACCGTGAGATCATGACCTGAGCCGAAGTCGGACGCTCAACCGACTGAACCACCCAGGCGCCCCACGACATCAGATCTTTTTATTTAATTATTTTTTAAATGGCACTACCTAATTATTGCTAGGTAGATCTTTTTCTTCTATAGAGGAATTTGATAATTTAAATTTTTCCTTCCTTCTTTTTAAAATGAGAGGTGTGTGTTATGATAGAAACAAAACATCTGGGGACTGTGTAGCTAAAAGTGTTAGCTCTAGTGCTGTGTTCTAGATAATATATCACTTTGCAAGTTGGGATTAAATTAAATGTGGCATAAAGGCAAACCCTGGCCACGTCTAAAGCCTGCCTTTTGATTGAAACTATCCCCGAATTGACTGCATTATCCTCAGTTAAGGTTTAGAGGGAATCAGTCTTCTCATTCAATAAATGTGGAATTGGAATAAACTGAAAAGAATAGGATAATTCTATACCTCCTTTTTTTTTTTTTTAATCACTGAACTGGCTGTTGCTTTTTTTAAGCGTTTATTTATTTTGAGACAGAGAGAGCGTGTGAGCTCTGTGGAGCCCAGTGTGGGGCTTGACTCAGGGCTTGATCTAACAAACTGTGAGATCATGACCTGAGCTGAAATCAAGAATCAGTCCCTTAATGGGCTGAGAGCCCCAGGTGCCCCTGAACTGGCTGCTTCTCATCTTCCACCTCCCTCCATTCCTGTGTTAAAGTAGTGAGTCCTCCCGGAATCATCTGTTTGGAGGCCAGCTGGGTGTGGCAAAGAGACGTAAAAGCAAACAAATAAAATTCCTTAATATGGTAGGAAGTCATTTCCTGGAATGAAAAATTTCTTTCCCTCAACTTTATGTGATTGTCTTTTCTTCTTTATTTGTTGGCTCTGTAGTACATCTCTTCTTGCCCTGCCAAACTAAATACAAAACAAATAAGAAATTCAGGGCACTCTAGTAAGAAATGTTATTCCAAAAAAAAAAAAAAAAAGAAATGTTATTCCACATACTTAACCAGAAGTTAAGTCACACGACTGTGCATTTCCGGTATGCACAGTGAAGGATTTTCTTCAAAACTCAAAAGAAGTAATGATACAGGGAGTTATAGAGACTGGGATGTTAGTGGGGAAACGGAGAGGAAGGCACTTATCTGTGTACAGAGAAGTTTCTGATAATTAGTCTCTTTGTTGATTTCCAGACAATTGCTTTTGGGAGGATTTCTCACCCACAGTTCCCTTGAGGAAAGTTGCCCTTGGAGACTGATCACCATGTGGGAATAAATTCATAGCTGGCACTCTTCCTAACCCCAACTTCGCTGCCTTCCCTAAGAGCATCTCCCTCCTCTTCCCTCTCTTGCCATTTATACATATAATTAGAGCAATAAAGAGTTTTGACTTACGCATCTCATTGATACGGTTTATGGATTAGCCTTCCTCATTCAACCTTTTCGATTTTAGTCCCATTTCTATTATACATTTTTAGGGCCTCACATTTACTTTAGAAATGCTGTACATAATATGAAAATACTTCATATTTTCCCTTCATCTTTTACTTGGTTCAAGTTTCAAGAGCACTGAAAGGTAAGGAGCTTTGAGTGATAGTGTTAATTCATTCACAGATGCTCACCAAATACAGTGTTTTAGGTCCCAGACCGCGAGCCCAGACAGTGTTTTAGGTCCCAGAGATATGTCACTGAGGAAGAGAAATATGGTTTCTGGTCTCCTGAAGCTTATATCCTCTTCATGCTGGGGAGAGATGCATAAAAGACAAATCAAAACAACAAATAAAAGCCTAGGCCGTGAATTTACATCAGATTCTAATAAATGCTATAAAGGAAATAAACGCTAGTAACACGATAGGGTGAATGAGGGTGGGGCAGGGTGTGTGCAGGGGAAGCCTCACTAAGGATTCCTGATGGAAGGTCATTCCAGGAAGCTCACCAGCAAGTACAAAGGGCCTAGGGAGGGCGTACGTACGACCTAAGCACAGCCCGAGCGCCTGCGTAGGTGAAGTTTCGTGACATGAGGACAGAAAGGACTCAGGGCCAGAATGTGCAGGATCTTGAAAGCCATGGAAGGAAAATAGATTTTTGTTTAAGGAGGAACTTTGGGAACGTTTTATGCAGGGTACGGACATATTTTACGTGGATCACTCAGCCTCGTCTTTGGATAATGGAGTATAGGGGGCAGAAGTAGAAGGAGGAAATCCAGGTGGGCTTCTTGGAGTAGTTGAGTGAGGGATGGTGGGTAGGATGGTAGTAAAGAAATTAGGGAAGAATCCTTGGGTGTGGGATGGATTCTGTAGGTGGAGTTGATGGGACTTCCGGTGAGTTAGATGTGGGGGCAGTGGAGAAGGTAAGTCAAGATAACTTCTTGTTTTTTGATTTTAAGTAGTTGGGTGGATGGTGGTGCCATTTATTGAGATATAGAAGACAGGTCTGTTTTAGGAGGAAAATGTTGTAAGGACAGAACTAGTGTTTGTTATATATTTTTCTTGAATGAAATTCTGTTTATTAGACAACTAATACTTAGCATATAAGCTGACCGACAATAGCTTTTGCTTTTCACTGGTGGAATGATGTTGACTTTATTAGCTAATCAAAGTTAGGGCCATGAAACTTAAAGATATTTCACCCATCAGAGGTCTTTTCGCCCTTTGCGTAGCCATGCATTCATAAAACAGAAAGAAAGATGGAGATCCTGTAAGGGCCTGATAACATTGTCCATTATCTTTTTCCGTTTCCATTACTAATCTGGGGACCCAGAAGCTATCCGCTTACTTCTTATTCTCTGACAGTATCCTCACATTTGCCTTTTGCTTTTGTTGTTGTTGGTTTTGTATCGCATATAGAATTCTAAGCTAGGTCATTTCTAAAGCTAATAAGAGAAAACACATGCATATTACTACTGCTTGGTAGATTGCATTATTTGGTTGTAGATCATGGTATTTTTCTGTGCTGAAGAAAGACTTTTTTTTCCTTCTGGAGCCTGTTCTAGTCATTTCTCAAGTGTGAGAAAAAATGTCTCTCCTGAAATGTTTACCATCAGTCCTTAGAAATAGCAAAAACTGCATCATGTCACACCATATACAGTTGACCCTTGAACAATATGGGGGTTAGGGGCACCTCCCCTCCCCACGCACAGTCCAAACTTCACATACAACTTTTGACTTCCCCCAAATTTAACTGCTAAGGTCCTACTGTTGATTGGAAGCCTTACCGAAAGCGTAACTAGTTGATTAACACATGTTTTGTATGTTATATATATTGTATACTGTATTCTTACAATAAAGTAAGCTAGGGAGGAGAAAATGTTATTAAGAAAATCATAAGGAAGGAATATACATTTACTTCAGTGTAAAAAAATATAAGTGAACCCACATAGTTCAAATCTGACTTGTTCAAGAATCAGCTGTAATTTGCATTTTGGGGCCACTGCCCTGCTACCCGTGGACAAGATATGCCAGCCCTCAGCCTATGGCTGACTATGGGCTCTGGCTCATTGCCTGTTAATTGTAGATGGAAGTCATTTTGCAAGAATAGGTCCAGTTTGTGGTCCCTTAAGATTCCTTTTCCTTTCAATGCTTTTATTTATATTAGATGTTTCTAAGTCATATTCATTAATGGCTGCTTTCCAGCAAACCAGAGTTATCTCACATCATTGTTGATTATCCGTCAGCAAGCTCTTCTAGGATTTCTTTAATCTTCACTGTGTCAGATATCGTGTTATCTCTTTGCATCACAAAAAATAAAGCAAGTTTAC